AAACTTAAAAAATAATGTCAAAAATATAAAATTTGGAAATGATAATAAATTTCCATTTATACGCGCAGAACCCATAGATGACGCGTACGAGAAGATGAAGTAATATGCTTTGTTGACTGATGATTTTAATTAATGTAATCTTTTAACCTCATCCTCCTTTGGATGCCAAACTGGCGGACCGCGACAAAGGACTTTGTTGTTTACCCTTTCACTGAGTGAAAATTATGGAGGTATAATCTGTATCCCGAATACTAACTGCCTTCATATTCAGATTTATAATAATACAAGATCACAATAATTTTCATATAATTAACATTTACACCATTACTCTCTTATATTAGATTTAGAATGGTTAGAACTTTGGAAAATAAAAATTAAATTTTAATTATAGATACTTCATTGTTGTATATAGTCATTTAATAAGATATATTTAAATTGTTGGATAATTGAAAAAAAAAAATACAATACATTAATAACGAATGATGAAAGGCAAATTTAAATGTAATCGAAGACAAAAGGATTTATAAGGGGTTGGAGATACTTTGAATCAAGCCGCTTGGTAACATTTGGGTCGTTGGGACCAAATAAAAGTTCTTAAGTAAATAGGATAATTTGCATTTCTTTGGTAATTTGAATCGTGATTTCTAGCACAATTCCTTGTCAAATTCTGTTTCGCTTTGCAATCATATTAAAAGAGGAATGAGATTAAGATAACTTATTGTGTGATGAACTGTATAAATAATTCATTTATGTTCTCTCTTAATTCCAAGATCTCATCAAAATATTGAACTGTTACAGATTTCGACGAATATCTGAAGGTCGTGTCCAATAGATTACAATTGTACGGCTTCCAACATTTTGTATGTCATCTGATAATCACAAAATTTCAACATTATGAGTATAAGATGTTCAGTCTTAGTTTTCTGAATTTGAAACCCAAAGTCGTTCAATCCTGTTATAAAAACTATAAGTACCCCATGAATATTTTATTTTATATGTGAGGAAGATATCATTCTGTAAATATTAGATCATTTATAAAAAAGCATGTTCCGTATTTTATGAACATGATACACATGTATGTTTATGGAGAATAAAACATTAATCATTTAAACTATATTAAGTTAAAAAGTATCAATTAAAAGTTTGTAGCCAATAAGTCAATTATTAGGTTTTAATGTTCTTTCAAAGATATATAGGCGCATAAATAGTTATTACTGAAAATTACTGAAAACAACAAGGGACATACCCAACTAAAGGTTACATCTACAGAATGTCAAATAGGCTGGGCTTAACTTTGTCACTACTATCACTTTTGGGTTTCTAATAGCTACCCTTTGACAATTGACCCCTTGTTATCAAGCTTTTATTAAATGAAGTCCTTAAGGTTGTGGGTATAATATAATTTTTGACCAAGTTTACACGAATGTAAGAAACCCTAGAATAGTAGTATATATTTGATGTTAATGTATCAAAAATATTTCCGACGGCGTCTTGGGAAATAACGTTCACAAGATAACCGGAGATTAGAAGATCGCTATATAAGGGAAATTAATAATCCATATTCAATAAGACTAAATGTTCCATTCCATTTGATGTTTTACATATTCGTATATTATTGTACTTTTATTCGAATTACTTTTTCTTATAATTCTTAATTTATATTAAAAATATATATTATCAAAAAAGAAATTAAATATATGTAGATATGAAGATGTGTGTGTTTTCGCATAGTTGAATACTTTTGATATACTAAACGAAGAAGGCGAAGTCACGGTTGTAAGCTATATTTAAAAAAAAACTAAACACAAAATAACTGTGATCTAAGGTTTCAAGATACCGTATAAGGTTGTAAATTTTTGTAACAAAATAATGAAAATCTTATGTTTATATATAATTTTGAGAGACAATAAGTCATGATAGGTATCTTAATGAATCGTAAAAAACCACCCATTAAAAGAAATGAAGTAAGGTTAAAGATTAGTCCATAATACCAGCATACTACTGTGGGTTTGGTGTTATAAAACCAAATAATAATCCTTATTTATTATTATTTAAAAACATCATATAATTTCATTACGTTTGAAAGATCTGTAATATTCCAATTTAAATGTGTCGGTTAAGCTTTTCCTTCTGAAATTACATGAACGCTAGTATGTTCATCTTGAACAGAAGGATGTATTGCCATTGCTCCGTTTGTGTAATGTATGCAATTAGGTAACTTATGAGAGAGCGAACCTACTTTGTCGAGTGCCCAAAGCAATAAAGCGGGCTTTTAATTTTGTGCCTTTGTAAATCTTGTGTTATTTATTCCAAAGAGATAAGGTAACTTAATTTTCTTGCTGTTTAAAGTTTTTTGCATATTTATACTCATTACAACATTTCGTCTAACATAAATAAAGTACGTTATTTAGTTAAACATTGAATCACCAGGGAGATATTATTATTCTTCTTCTACCTGGCAATTTCCCAGCTTTAGCCAGGGTCTGCCTTACATGTTGTGAATAGTTTTGGCTAATTGTTTTTACGACCGGTTGCCTGCCTGATATCAACCCTTTTTGGGAATGCATTAATCAGTGATATCTACATAATTTTAGAAAGTACGTATGACGCGGAAAAATCACATTGGTACTTGCCAGGATCGAACCCGCGTCCTCATGCATGAGAGGCGGGCCTTTTAACCACTAGGCCACCATTGACTTCAGGGAGATATTATAATTACAATATATTTATGGGCAAGCTAAATCTATTACATATTTCTAAGGCTCTGCTTCATAATAGCCCTCATAATTAACTTAGGGTGAGAGTATAGGATATAATTATGCATTTATAATAAAGGTCGAAGTTAGTTCTTGGAGGGCCGCTTTGTTATGGGTCTCAGGGCAGATATTCTATTATGTTAACTACCTGTACACAAGGTAACATCGTTGGTCCGAGTCAAAAATAATGGCTCACCACGATTACATCAGGGCGGTTCGAAAGGGTAAATTTATATACATACATATAATATTATTTTTTTAGGTCATAAATTTTAAAATTATTAATAAATTTGTTGTTAAATTTCAACATATAAGTAAAACAAATCAAAATTCCTTATGTCTAAAGTATTACAAAACTCTTAAAGAACAATCATCGAAAGCAAGGTAGCGTGATAGAAGTGATAAAAAAAATCTTAAAAGACAGAAAACAGCATAAACTAACAATGCAACATTTCACAGTAGTAGTGTAGTAAAAAGTTGATATGAAGTAAATTAAACACTAAAACGTCGTATTCGTGACTCGTGAGAGTTAACTTCAATTTTATTCATGAAACTTGGTGTCTTCAGAAAGGAGTGGAATATATTCTTAAAATTGATCTTTTTAAGTAAATGTGACTGTTATACTATAGATATTTCTATGAATAATTTCTTTTTTACTTTCCACATGTTTCATAAACCGTTTATTATTCAAAAATATGTATTTTGCTGACGAATACTTACAGCTATATATGTTTCTAAAGGATTATTAATATTGCCTAAGACTCATTTTTGGAAATTCATATCTCGTTACTAAAATTCAGACGGAATGAAACAAACTCATTCATAAAAATTTACTTATTAGTGCACAGAAATTATTACATAAATTTTTGTAATAGTATATAAATTCAAACATTTCCAAGCAAAAGAAATACCACTATAAAGACTTCTCTCTCACACTGTGGAAGTATATTAAATTGTGAGTGAAATATTTTCAGTGTATGTGTGGCGTTACGGCTTAATAAATATAATAAAATGGCTACGCAATCTCTGGTTCAGTATAATATTAATACGCTCCTATTTCCAGCCACTGCATTTAGTCGACTGGTTTAAAAGAGAAAGGGAGATGAATTTATTATGGAATATATTTTCTACCTTCACACAGCCATGAAGAAATTACACACGATAATCCAAAGTAAAAATAATTTAATGAAAAAAAACTTAATGACATTTAGTTTTAATTTAAAAAAAGAACTATCAAAAAGTGTCATGTTTTTTGATTACAACCTCCATGGTTATAACATGGATAAAATCTATAAAATTGGAGCTGTTAATAATTTATCAATAAACAAAGTAATTTTATCCCCGCTACGTACAATAAATATATTATCATTAATGATACAAGATCCTCTGTCCGTGCGTCACACTACAATAATAACTTTATGCAGTTGTGAATATTGCCAGGTTGAAGTTATTGAATCAAGATACTAGATTTAGAAATTCTATAAATATAAGTAGCTTTTAATTATACTGATTAAAGTTAAAAATTTCAAAAACAAATTCTGTTACTCTAAAATATGTGCTCCATGTAGTATTAAATCTTCGAATTAAATCGTACTATAATAGTACATTTTTTGTGTTTAGGTTTAAGGCAAATTTGTCATTGTAAAACTAATATAATGGGACAAAAAATCTCTGATATGAATATTTGACTTTGAAACTATGAAATATTCATGCCAAAAATGCTCAGCGAAACAGTTTTATTTACTTTCTTTCTTGTATAAATTTGAAATCCTAATTTGTTTCACTATAAAATTCACGTCAGATAATCTATGGTCTTCGTGTATAAATACTCTTGTTTCACATATTCACGTCAGATTGACGAGGTAAACGAACGCTAATCAGTACATATTATATTGCAATAAACGATGAGCTATTTACTCTATAATGAAAATGAATTGCATAAATATTTTTATGACGATTTTTTTATTCGATAAGATACTTTTAGATATCTAAGATTACTCCTTTTATTCAAAGTGCTAAATAAGTTTAATGTAATAGAATGATTGCTAACAAAAAAAAAGTCACGCTTTTTAATAATATTAAATGAAGCATTCTTTTGATTTTTTTTAACACAGTGAAATTTGGACACGTGTATGTAAGATACGTAATTAAATGACTTTTAAATAAATACGGTAGTAGTCTAGGAGATAAAGTATCTCAATAGCAACATCCATATTAAACATGATAAGAGTCTCTTAGACTAACCTCTCATAAGAGCTGATTCAGACGCACCGCCGTCCTTATCTTGTCCTGATAACAACCTCATCTCTTAAAACACTACAATTCGTCGGTTCACATCAAACACTGTTTATTTAGATCGTTAATTTTTTTTATTTATATTGCTAAATGTAGGTTATCCTTATGATATCGTACGGCATGTGACTGATAATGAAAAATTGATCTTAATCAAAAGTTAAATGGTTAATTCTATATGATGTCGGTTTGTATTGATCGTAAATTTTATATATAGTATTTGCCTTTTTTGGTAATATGTTCCTTTATATTCTATTTTCATATTTAAACTTAACTACTTTTATTTGTTTCTAAAAAAATATAATAATATCTAAATTATACAAATTTATTATAAATCGATAGCATACTGGATTTTTCGTAAATATAAAACTTATCTGAAATCTTATTTAATTTTAAATTTTATAAATATGATTGTATTTTTTTCATTATTAAACAATAATAAATTTATCGGTTCACTCGTCCCCAAAACAATAAGCTTTTATATTTCAATATTCCAGTACTTGTTTTTTGTGAACACGGAAAGAGTTAAGATCTGACGAGAGATAAAAAAAATAAATTTAATGGGGAAAGACTTAAAAGTTCCTAAAATATATAACACCTATGTGTAGAAAACATCAAAAATTTGGATTCCTACCTTGCGGCGCCACTAATGAGTAATCACAAGTCCTGTTCATATCTTTTACAATAACTTTATTATTATATTACACACTGATATTTTTATACGTTTTATTATATGAAAAGCACTGTTTTCTCCGACTAATAAAAGTGAACTGTTATTCTATATCGTCATTAGATCCCAGTACTTTAGTGGATGGTTTATCAATAATACGTTTGTCAATTTTAAGATGTTTTCAGGTAGTTTGTTTAAATAATCCTTATCGTTTGTAAAAATATTACTGTTTTATTATTTACACTGCAATAAACGGTGAAAATTAATTTATAATTATTTTTAATAAAAGTAATTCAACTGAAACTTAAAAGCATTTTATATATGTATATTAAATAAGTATTTCTCAATTTGTTTGAATCATTTCATAGTTCCGATACATTAATAGAACAAGATTATTTTTATTCAATTCTGTGTAGCAAGACTGATTCCATAAATTTAAATAACATCTGATAAAGAAAAAAGGAAATTTCATTAGTTCCGCTCTTTCCGTAATACTTAGATAAATTCTCTTTAAACTTCATTAGATCTCAAATTACATCTGGTTTAATTATAGTGACCGAGATGTATTTATATTTAAATACAAAAGAGTTTCAAAGTTATAATTCTTTTAATAATAAAAAATACTTTTGTTAATTAAGGGCTGTTTAATGTATAACAACGGAACGGTAAGAGCTAGACACAGTTTAAAATGTGGTTTGTTTTGTTTTAGAAACAACGGTCAGTTTCACTAGATTTAGCTAAAGAAAAGACAAGAAGATATTTAAAATCAAGCTGACTCCCTAATTGTTGATATACTATTCTAAAAAAATTTATATGTTAAATAGTTTATTTTACTTTAAAAAGTATTTTTTAACTCAAATAACTTAAAGTTAATGAGTCATTTTTGTAAGTTTTTCGACAGATCTCCATCACTATCTTTTAAAGACACATGTTAGTTTATATAAATATAATGTATATAATTTGTAGTAACTAACATAGCAACCTGATTTTATTTTCACTATAGATATTTGTATATGAATATACGCAATCTCCATTACAACAATACATACGCGTTTTATGGTAAAAAATATTTGTTGAATTTTATCACTTGATAACAGAACATTAATAAGCCAGGTGTATTTATAACAAGAACATATTGTATTCTTTGTATTTATACAGACCATATTGTTTTACTGTGTCTGCTTTTATTTTAAACTGTTTCTTTGTTCTCAATAAACTGTGTTTATTTATGATGCGATAACTTGAAGACCTATTGTATTCTGTATACAGTAGCGTGTTAATGAATCATTCTTCTGGGTCAATGATATTGTAATGTGAATTTCTTTAAGCATAAAGTTTTGATGCTTTGAATAATCTTATCGTTTAATCCGTTGGTAATCCAAGTCAAGGTCGGAAAACGACGGCTTAATGCAAATATTTTATAACGGCGTGTTTTTCGTCTAAGGGTTGCGAGATAAGCTTTAATAAAATGTTTAAGATGGTTCACTCGTCGTCAGACCTTATTCAAAAATGAACAATTATTTATTATGAAACTAAGTTTTTTCGGATACTACGATTTTTTTTTAAATATTTTATAATTACATAATTAAGAAGTTTCCGTTTCTTTACAGCAACCGTGATCACGGGCAGACGACATGAAAATATATTTGATTATGTAGATACAAAATAATAAAAAGCACTTAGCACATTTAAAATAAAAATACAAGTCTAAAAATGAACGGATTTGTCTTATCTTTATATCATCATTATTTATAATTTCACTATATCAACGCTTTTTTTCTAAACTAAAAGTATGTCAATCATTCTGTGATTGAACATGACCTGATTATTTTGATGGTGTTAAATTTAGATTAAAAATTAAATACTCTATTCACATAATTTTTGTAATAAATTATAATACAAATATTACATTTTGAATCTTAGTATCTTCTGAGTTTAATTATTTGACACTTTTAATTGAAAATAGGGTGAAGAGCCCTCTTTCAGTAATATCCGCAGTATCATTGTCAGACAATGTACGATAAAGGAGACCGACCCTGTTTTAGTGATGCATAATATAATTTAATCACATGATTCTGATAGCATCTGCCACAAATTACGTTATCTAGAACTTTATGATGCCGATAGGAAATTTTTATTTCATAAAAAAACGCAGTTTCTGTTACTGACTTTGATAAAAAATATTATAGCTCTATTAATTATCTTTCATAATAAAATATTTATTTTGTTCAATTCGAGGAAAAACTATAATTTTATTATTATTTTAAAATGCTTTAAGATACCTAAGTATAAGGTGTGTTATGTTTTATTTATTAATTCATATAATAAGAGAACATGAACTTTTCTGCTAATCTATTGATTATCACAGAAAGACTGAATTGCTTTTACAAAGGAGCTAGTTTTATTTAAATTAATTTCATTAGAATGAGATCTAAGATTTTAGCGAGTTTTGTACATTTAAATGAAACTAATACTTTTCGGCTATATTAGCTCATTTGCCCGTGAACACGGTTGCTGAAAAGTAGCCGAAACGTCCGGAGTATGTAGTTTTTTATAAAAATAAAGTCGCATGGTATCTGACAAATATTAGTTTCATTAAATAATTTCATTAAACTTTATCAGGTTTAATTCGTGTTTGTTATATTCAATAATTGCCTGATGATATGTTAATAAAATCTGTTATCTGATAATATTTCGTCTGACCGTGATCACAGCTGCTGGAAAGTAATCGAAATGCCGGCGAATGTAAAATTAAATAATAAAATCGGGTAGCATATCTGAAAATAATAGTTACGTTTTAAATTTAACTCCTGAAAAGGCAACGCTGACATGACTAAAATAACTAACCTTTGGATTAGAATAAAATAAGATAAATGTGAGGACGTCGTTCAATCATTGAAAATGGTTTAAGATTACAGTCTTTTTCTCTTTTCATTGTGTCCTAATCTAACTTGTTTTTCTTTTACAAATCTTAAAAGATCGTTGGATGACAGTTCGCTGAAACTACTAATCACTAATGATACATTTAGCATAATGCATTCACAATATGATAACTTGTTCATATTTTTTAGAAGTTGACTTGAAAAAAGGCATAATTATGTTGGCAAGTGTTTTCTTCGAATATAATTTGCTCTAAATATTTTCATTCCATTCTTAGGTATTGTGTTTCATGTAAGAATATTAACATATATTTTATGACACGCATTTTAAGAATATTTTTATTGCAATTATCAAGTCAAGTCCAGGTTTTCCAGAGCACTGAAATCTGTACAGTAATTATAAAGATGAAATAAAATCAGAAAAGTTGCTTGTTGTTTATAATTTTACCGTTGTTTCTTATTATTTCAAAATATTAATTGTAATAATCACATTAACAACTATAGGTAGTAAAAGTCAGTGGTGGCCTAGTTGTTTAAAGGGCCCGCCTCTCGTGCATGAGGGCGCGGGTTCGATCCTGGCAAGTACCAATGTGATTTTTTCCAGTTATATGTACTTTTTAAGAGTATTTAGACATCAGTGATTAATGCATTCCCAAAAAGGGTTGATGTCAGGCATGCGACCGGTCGTATAAATAATTAGCCAAAACTATTCACAACATGTAAGACAGACCCTGGCTATAGCTGGGAAATTGTCAGGTAGAAGAAGAATCACAGTAACAACTACATATGAGAAGAAAAATAATATTTTTTTCATTTTAAATTTAAAAAAGTTCTAAGCTATTTGGCTGAATATAATAGTAGAAGTATGCAAGTTGCTTAAGGTGTGAGGAATAGTGGTTGACTTTATTCTTCAACAAGTTTTTATAAGAAAAGGTTATGTATGAGTTGAGTGTACATAAGTATGTTACACAGTTCTTAAGTTTGGGAAAGAGTGTTCGTGGAAAGGATGACAGGAGAGAGCGATGTCACATGAAGTTTGTTCTTTTTTGTAGACATTATAACGAAAACAAATATCGGGTTCAAAAAAATACTTTTTTTTTAAAAAATACTTTGACTGTATTTTAACGATAATTGTTTTAATATTATTATGAATTTTCCAAACACACATACACACACACACACACACACACACACATTGAAACTTCTTATCATAAGTGGATATAAAACTGTTGAATTGTCAAGGCTATTCTCTTGAATTGTTCTAGAATAAGATTCTTTATATGAATTTTTGTAGTTTTATTATTACTTCTTCTATCTGGAAATTTCCCAGCTTTAGTCAGGTTCTGCCTTACACGTTGTGAACAGTTTTGGCTGATTGTTTTTACGTCCGGCTGCGTGCCTGACATCAACCCTCTTTTGGGAATGCAATTAATCAGTGGTGTCTAAATACTCTTAGAAAGTACATATATATGACTCGAAAAAATCACATTGGTACTTGCCAGGATCGAATCCACGCCCTCATGCATGAGAGGCGGGCCTTTTCAACCACTAGGCCACCACTGACTTAATTTTTTTAATTACTATTACTTACTTTCTACAAAATAGTACTATTATTCGTTTGTATACGTTATTCTGATGTGTGAGTAATACTATTAGTATAATAAGATGAAATACTTCAAAAATAAATTTCGTATCTAATTGAAAATGTATGTTTTTTTTCCAATAATTTTGTTTTGATTGTATAGTGTATTTCGTTGAATTGGTTTATATCAGTTGGCTTGTTGTGTTGTTATCAAATATTGAAGGATTATAATTGTCGCAATGCAATTTTTTGTATGAAGTAATAATTATTGTATTTCTGATTTCGTAACAGCATTGCCATACATTACATTAGGTACTTTGAAAACTGTTTATTGTAATTCGTACTGTAAACATTAACTAAAATGAATACTAAATTGTACGACTTTTAAATCAGAAGTTTATTTTTAAAATTAAAAGTATACGATTCGATCATAGGTGGCCATGAACCTTAATTTCACAATCCTTAACATTATGATGCATCGATGGGGTACTTATAATAAGTGTTTGTTAATATTGATAAAATGGGTCTGTATTTGTATATATATAAATAAGAAAGTGACTAAACTTATTATTATTAGATATTATAGCGACGAGATCTAGCCATGACTCGTGTAGTCTTGCTTCTTACTGTTTGTCTGGCTTCAGCGTCAGGTATGAAATATGACTAATAAATAACTGCTCCATTTCCTTAGCTGACATATTATTTACGCTTTTAGCTGTACCAGCGACCGGTAGGATTGCGATTGGATCAACAGGTTATATCAGCACCTACCCGTTTGCTGCCAGCCTGTTGTATTCTAGAATTGGCGTTGGAGTATTTACCCAGGCGTGTGGTGGATCCATTATAACTTACAAAACAGTTCTAACATCAGCTTATTGCTTACAGTAAGTGTTTTTTGTTTGTTTCAATTATATTCAAATATTTGTTGAAGATTATAAGGTTAGTGCTTATATAAATCAATATAAGCACTCTTGCCTTCAAATCATTTTTTACGTATTCAACATGAAATATTTTTTTAGTGGTGAATCGGTAAATACCTGGCGTGTGAGGGTTGGTTCTTCTACTAGTAGTAGCGGAGGTGTGGTACACATTTTATCGCGAATCATCGTGCACCCTCTTTACAATACACGCACCTCGGACAATGATATAGGGTTACTCCATGTTTCTACGCCATTCGCTATGAATAGCAACGTAAAACCGGGAACTATTGCCGGTGCTAACTTCTATCTACCTGACAATAAACTCGTTGAAGCTATAGGATGGGGGCTAAGAAGTGTAAGTTTATTTCTGATTCAAAAAGGTATATTTAAGAAAATACTTATTGCTTTTTAACCATACGTACCTTTTTACCTACACATGTATATATATATAAAACAACTTTGTTTTGGAAGAGTAAAATATCATTGAGCAACATTAAAAGAAATAGAATCCGGGTAATATGATTAAAATTGATTTATTCCTTTTAATAACTAAATCTTTGTTTTTAAATTCAATATTCTGTCGAAAATTCATTTTGTGCGTTATTTTTTTCTCTAAAGATTTATTTTGCCTTATAATGTATACATAACTGAGTCATGTAATTATTTTTTTAATGTTAATAAATAAGCAACTATGTGCGCATATCTGTTATAATGAAGACAATTTAATTATTAATGATATAAAACAACGGTCTTATAAAAAGATAGCAAATTTATTAAAAGTATATTTGATATTTTTTTTATGAAGGAAAATTTTAATTATCGATTTGAGAATTATAAAACACAACAAATGTATGGATAACTTTTAGAGTTTTGTAACATTTTATTAGTTTGAGAATACTTCATATGAATTAACATTATGTTGAAGTGCAAGAAGCGAACATAATTCATTCAACATTCTTTTGACTGATGTGCACATATATTTCTGTGATAACTTCTGGTGCTTCTAATAAAACATTCTTATGGAGCGAATATTATTTATCATATAATTATTGTATAGGAAAAGTATTGAATCTATTGTCAGATTTTAGTAAACAATGATGGAACTACAAATACAAAATCTTAATGGAGTTAAGTATAAATAGGGAGATATGAACGAGAAAATAATTATGCTAACGTTTAAAAATAAAAATTTAATACTATATCTTTAAAAAGTGCTTTATAAATTTAATAATATTTATTTATTTTATGATAATTTTAAGGTGCTCTTTAAGACGATTTCAGATTTAGTGAAATATATGTATATATATATTTTTTTCAGAATGATGGTGAACCTTCCAATCAGTTACTTTACGATAGAATTTATACCATTAACTGGTCCACGTGTCAGTCAAGATACTCTGAAATTGGACGTACGGTTACAAGTAATATGGTTTGCGTCGGTAAATTGGATGTTAACGGATATGGACAATGCGTTGGTGACTATGGCAGTCCAGTCCTAGCCGACTCCATAATATTTGGTGTTTTCTCCTTTAGCCAGCAATGTGGTCTTGGAAGATATCCCAGCGTTAATACTTACATACCTAAGTATATCGATTGGATTGTTGAAAATAGTTAAGTTTCACACACTATTGATCTACGACATATGCTTCATTGAGTTTTGAGTCTTTTTGCTATACTATTATATTATAAAAAATAATAAAGATGTTTCATTTATTTTATCCGATCCAAAGAAATTATGACTCATAATTTTGAAAAGAAGTTTTTATCCCCTTTATTCAAGTTGTAATGTCTAGTTTTCTCACAAATTTCAGTGTTTTTTATTAAACACTTTTTAGTTAATCCGTAGCTTTAAGAATTAAAAAAAATATGTATCATATAAATGTTAGTAACTATAAAAAATATAAACCCACAATAACAAAACGGTACTTGTTAAAATAGTTACATGAAAAAAACCTTTTTTAAACACCTCCGCAAATTTAATCAAACATAGACTGAAAAAATGATACGACTATTCACACACAAATTAAAAAAATATTGCGCGTTAAAGAAGATTATATATGTATAACATTTACTTATATTCAACATTACTAAACAAAAAATAATAATAATTTTTGAATGTCGTACATTTATGTGGTGTTTCTTACTTGTAGCTTTTAATCAAGAAAGAAGTTCCAAAGCATTTCAAACAATATAAGCGTTTCCTTAGTCTTCTTCATAAAGTAGCAGCATGATTGGATGTTCGGTTATTTGGCTATTGTAATATAATGACTAACTCTTGTTCTGACTTAGAGTGGAATGGCATGGTTACAATTATTGTATAATGTTACACAAAAGATTTAGATTAACTATGCTTAACTCTTATAAGTAAACCTTGGTTTAATCTTTCAGTTCTATAAAGTGTTTTTAGCTATAATTCAAAAAATAGTAAAAATTGTCTAAAGGTGATTCTCATTTTGAGCAACAAAATTGTGGTAAAATTTGTGTTTTTAAATTACCAATCTTTTATAAATTGAAACCAATAAAAGGATTATATTAAATGTAAACAAGTCATACTTCCATCATTCTTTCACTTGGTATGTATATATTTTTTTAAAACAATATGTATAAGAAAAATAAAAACTAGTTAGAAACTTTAGAAATTAAAATAAAAGAGCAAAAAAGTAAAGTTAAGAATAAAATTTCATGATATACTACTCTTCTACAGGTTCTGCACTTTTTTAAGCGAATAAATGAACTCATTGCAGTATTTGATTGATAAAGTAACAGTTATTATATTAAGGTGCTACAGTAAAAAAAATATAGGATTTTTTTTGGTGGAAATAGGATCTAATTAAACCGTAATCAAATTATCAATGATTTAAATGAAACGATTACTTATTATCAGCTTTATATCGAAATTCAAAGAATACATTTGTTTTGTTTCTAAGTGTGGTTATTCATATTATATTGTTTTGATAATGTTGTTTTCCTGTTTGTTGTTTTTTTTAAGTATTATTAATTTTAGTTTCAATTCATAAATGTACAACTTAATTCGCTTTAAATCTTTGGATAAAATAACAACAGTCTTTACCGAAATAAAAGACATTTGTTATTTTTTACTAACTTAACTTCTACCAGTTACAGATATAAGAAGCACGTTTTAAGTTTATATTGTTGACTAGCTGACCCGGCAGACTTCGTACTGCCTCAATCAATAAATAAATAATGTTTTATAATTTTTTTTGGAGTTTCCCTTTAAGCTATAAATCTCCGTGTTCTGAAGTGCGACAAAATGATTGACATTATTAGTTAGTGTCAAATCAAATGTTAAAAAAAAACTTTTGTATGGAAAATAGAAAAGGGCTGTTTTTAGGGTTTTCCCGGAAATGATTATTTTTTTTCAGCTTTTAAATCTTCCTTGAACCTCTACGAATATTTCATGACTAAGAAAAGATAAATCCGTTTAGCCGTTCTCGAGTTTTAGTGAGACTAACGAACACCTATTCATTTTTATATGTATATATAGATGTATAGAAACACAAACTATTATATTTAAATATAATAAATACAATTAATATAATATAACAATCATTATATCAAGGAAATAATAGCTGATATATTTTTAATAAGTGACTATCATGTGCTGATCATACATCACAAGCATTCAAGCATTTAAACTCTTTATTCAAGCATTTAAACCAGAATATTATAGAAGCAATTAATGTGAATAAATAAAGTACAAAAAAATAATTTGATCAGCGTTAAGTCCCTTCGCAAAAATTAACGCGAGCTTGATTTAAAACAAAACTTGTATAGAGCATAAACAAAATGTTCTCAACTACGAGTATGTAAGCCCTTAAGTAAACAATTATCTGGTAATTAAAATTCAGATAAGATTATAATATTTCCAATATAATGACCAAATAGCTCCAAAATAGTGACGGTGTAATGATAAGATACAAATACGAATCATATATAATGGTAATCAGAATGAATTTAATAGAATTGACCACCCACCTACAGTTACAATGCGTGTTACTGCTCTTTTATTTGTAGGCTGTCTAGCTGTGGCAGCTGGTTTGTATTTAAATAAGTTATGAATATACAAAAAAAGATTATATTTTTTTAGTGAATTTTTTTTAATCAATAAAGATTATTATTATATTTTCAGCGTTACCACCAGCTGTAAGGATCGTCGGTGGATCAAATGCAGCGATAACATCATACAGATTTGCTGCAAGTCTTTTACATTCTAGAATTGGTGTTGGTACTTTTATATATGGCTGTGGTGGATCAATTATTACCAATAGAGTGATTCTGACTGCTGCTTATTGCCTTTAGTAAGTATACAAATATCAACATATAGACTGAAACGTTACCTTATCAAAGGTTATAAATGCAGTCTTACTTACACAGAGAGTGCTAAGTATCTTAACAGAAAGTTATTTGTTACAGCAATGAACCTGTATATCGTTGGCGTGTTCGTGTTGGTTCAGCCAGGTCCAGCACTGGAGGAGTTATTCATAATACTCAGAGAACATTAGTCCATCCAAATTATAATCCAATGACTGCTGACAATGACATTGCTTTATTGCACTCAATGACAGTATTCGTTTTCAACAATAACGTAAATTCAGTAGGAGTTCCCAGCGTTAATTACAACCTGCCTGACAATCAACCTGTAACAGCACTCGGATGGGGAGCTACCAGTGTAAGTTACTTTTTGATCACCATCTATCATTGTCTATTCAAAACAATTGACATAAAATAATGCATTCAGTTAATTACGGCAAAAAAATCTGTAGTCTTACATTTTTATATAGCAACAAGTTCTCAATAATATTTTGAATATAATAATCAAATACTTATAACCAAGAACAATACTCGTATAACAGACTAAAGGAAAAAATACGAAAAATATGTTCAGATGACAAAATTATCTTTGTTGTGCAACATTAATCGTACACTGAACTGATTAATTAACTGATTATCTTGACCCAATTTGCAATGAATGTATGTTGAAAAAAAAAAATATATTTTATTTATATTACTTTTATATTTCACAGTACGGTGGTCAACTCTCTGATACTCTCCGTCGTGTTGACATTTGGACAGTCAATAGAAATGTATGCAGGACGCGTTATTCTGAGTTGGGATACAGTGTTACTGATAACATGTTGTGTGCTGGCTGGCTGGACGTTGGAGGTCGTGGTGCTTGCATTGGTGATACTGGCAGCGCTCTCATTCATCTTAACCGCAATGTACAAACGATCGTTGGAGTATACTCGTGGAGTTACAATTGTGCACTTCCTCGATACCCAAGTGTCAACGCCTTTGTTCCCAGATATACTAACTGGATTCTAGCAAACGCATAAATTTTTGATGTAATTTAAAATACAAAAGTTTTTAAAGTTATTATATTTCTTTAAATCCAAGAATATGTTTTATTTGTTATTTTTTTTTAAAAAAAATTATCCTTTTAGATTTAATTATAAGTCTTGAAATACCAACTGTAATAAGTATAATACATAGCACAAAAATATTGTTTACACTCAGCGAATAAAAGAATTTCACGAGACACTCAAAGAAATTAGTCATGTATTTCTTTGTGTCCTTTGTGTTAAAATACAAACTAAAATACGAGTAACTTAGAAGATGATTAATGATCTATAAGCCTGACAAAAAACAAAATAGAAAACGACAAAAATAACAAAATTTATGAAAAAATTCTTTAGATTCAGATATTTATATGTATTTCATTGTATTTAAGTGAAACTTCTAATATGACTTCCAATAATGTCGACTTAAACGTTCAACTCTACCATAGAGTGAGTATAAAATCACTGTTACGTTAAACCTTTAAGCCCCAGGGGAAGAATTTAAAGAGTTAGTTAGTTAGTTATAAGCAATGCTGAAAGTTTGTCTTAAAAAACAATATAGAATTTACCAAAAACATTTTCCCCCAATTTTTTTTTTCATTTCCACTCTACGAAGTTTCACCACTTCTTCGTGGGGAAATTCCACGCATTATTAATCTCTTTCATAGGACAGATGTTTGATTATGACTTCCATTTTATATCAAGAATTGATTCAGGCTTAATATACCATTAACAAAAAACCTACAACGAACATAGTGACGGCTGATTATGCAAGGGCATGAATACAATTTTTGGACCATTCTTTCGTGCTTTTATATTATGTGTAAGCTAGTGGCTATTAATCTTATATTCCATGTTTATTTTGATCGGGATTTATGAAGACTAAATATGATTCCGTACGAAATGCAATTATGATTTAGACTGCTGTAATAAAGTAGACGGTGCTTGATAGAAACTGATTATACATTATTATATATAATATTTTTAGTGCATGTGGTACTAAAGAAAGTTTTATAGATGTGAACTAAATTATTAAATTCACGTCAAAGTCTACGTGTGCGTATGTGCGCCTGTGCGCGCGTGAGTGTGTGTCTTTAGCATTGTAACTCTTAAACAGCTGGATCTTAGTTCAGCTTATATTAGTCAAGAAGTATAAGAGTATGAGTTTATTTTCTGTCTAGTAAAATTTGCCAATTTTCACAGTTAATTCATCTATGACAAGATTACTTTTTTTTTTAGTGGATATTCTTTTCTTTTGGCCATATATAATTGTTGCTTTCATTGAATCCATTTTTTTTATTAGTAACAGATAATGTTACCATATTCATATGCCGAGACCCTCTGACGTTTAACTATTGACTAGTGAACAGCAATTAACTGCCCGAAGAAATCACCATGATAGCTAGGCATTCTGCCAACTACATCTTTTGCACCTCGATCGACATTCGGTGGCTGGTTCTTGGAGGTATATTTACTGACTTACGTAATTTAAAACAACTGTTACGTTTTCGCAAGATTGAATGTACATATTTGCTTTCCAATTTTCCATGTTTGACATATGGGTGGTAAAAACATATCAAAACGGAATTGAGAGAAGTGAAATTTAGTAAAAAGATATAATAGGGTAGGATTGGAAATTAAGAAAAAACTAATCGAAAAGATGCAGGTGAGTTATGTAAAAATATATTTACAAAAAAACCTTAAACCAATTAACGCCTTTCTATGCACTGTCTGCTTGAAATCACAGGATGGACTTCAACTGACTTTTGAAGTTAGAGAAAACTGAAATTAGTTGGCTTTCCGTCTTTCGAAAACTGAAATTACATGGTCTTCATGCGGCAACTACAAGTACTTTTAGAATGTCAATTATGACTAAATAATAACATCTTAATTTAAAAAACAAAGTGGGTGACTCAATATATATTGTTAACCATGCGATGAAATTCAGATAAGCATTTTTGCCATTATGCATTGAATCCATGGACTTTAACTAATGTCTTTAACTAAATTACCTAGCAAATGTTTTTCACGCCCTGTAGGTAAGCAATCCCAGTATTTTGTTAAGCTACGAAAACTCCATGACTATCAAAGGGTTAAAAAAATGGTCAAGTTTTTGAAAATGTCAATCGGCCTCCATTATTCGAGACTTACAGAAATATCCAGTACCTAGTGTTAAGAGACGGTAAACTTTTCTTGTTTTAGCTACGACTGATAAAGGAAAATTATTTTTCAACTTTTAAGGGTGGTTTCCTAAAGTAAATAAAATTTATATGTAACGGTATTTAAATATTAATAAAAAAATTATAATGTATTAAACAGAAATTATACTTTTATTGTTAAGTATTAAATTTTGTTTAATACTAAAGGCTACTTATTTGTAATCATTTTTATTATTATTAACTGCTATAATTCAAAATGTATTGTACTAACGTTCCCGAAATAGATTCTTTGAGATGCATATTTTTTTTAACCATTAATTATTCGTAGTATTTTTTATGTTCAGGCAGTCTATTCTTTATTATTCTAGACTGCTAACTATTGCAGATTAGTATCTCAATCAGTTACTATGATAAAACTCATTTAAATTTTCCTTCTACGATAATAAAAAATAATTAAATTACTGCAATGAAATAATTGGACTAGAAAATCGTTATAATGACGGGCCTTTGATAAGATATTAATTAATATCAATAATATAGATATCTGAGAAATATATAAGCCTTTACAGGAAACAATCAGTTGTCAGGTGTCATAATAACAATGCGTGTTACAGTTTTATTATTTGCAAGCTGTCTAGCTGTGGCAGCAGGTATATATTATAAAAATGTGTATATTATACAGAAGTTTTATTAATGAGGTGTCTTTTCGTTTGTTCAGAATAAAATATACCTAATAATAATTATATTTTCAGCACTACCACCAGCTGTCAGAATCGCTGGTGGATCAAACGCAGCGATAACATCATACAGATTTGCTGCAAGTCTTTTGTATTCTAGAGTTGGCGTTGGCACTTTTATATATGGATGTGGTGGATCAATTATTACCAATAGAGTGATTCTGACTGCTGCTTATTGCCTTTAGTAAGTATACAAATATCAACATATAGACTGAAACGTTACCTAATCAAAGATTGTAAATACAATCTCACTTACACACAGAGTGTTAAGGTATTATAACAGAAAGTTACATGTTACAGCAATGAACCTGTGTACCGTTGGCGTGTTCGAGTTGGTTCAGCCAGGTCCAGCACTGGAGGAGTTATTCATAATACTCAGAGAACAGTAGTCCATCCAAATTATAATCCACGGACTGCCGACAATGACATTGCTTTATTGCACTCAATGACAGTGTTCGTTTTCAACAATAATGTTAATTTGGTTGGAATTGCCAGCGCTAATTACAACCTGCCTGACAATCAACCTGTAACAGCACTCGGATGGGGAGCAACCAGTGTAAGTTATATTTCATCACTTAATTATTACAAAATAGAATACATCGAGGTCCATAAATCAAGTTATCGTCGAAAATAACATAAATAATTACAAAAAATTGTAATGACCCATAAATGATAGATATTTTTTTTATCATTAACATTATATATACATGAAAGATCGATTTTTTTTTTGGTCTAATCTTTATATACATAGATTGAAAATCCAAGTGTAGCTGAACTTTCTAAACTACATAGTAGCAAAAGATTATAACATAGTACTATTAAAAAAATTCAATTACAAAAAGCGATATTTCCATACATTTGATTGTCTTATTTTCAATGTGAATAAGATAATTTACGTGATTTGTCTAATATTTTTATCCTTTTATTTCACAGAGTGGTGGTCAACTCTCTGATACTCTCCGTCGTGTTGACATTTGGACGGTGAATAGAAACGTATGCAGGACGCGTTATTCTGAGTTGGGATACAGTGTTACTGATAACATGTTGTGTGCTGGCTGGCTCGATGTTGGAGGCCGTGGTGCTTGCATTGGTGATACTGGCAGCGCTCTCATTCATCTTAACCGCAATGTACAAACGATCGTTGGAGTGTACTCGTGGAGTTACAATTGCGCACTTCCTCGATACCCTAGTGTCAATACATTTGTTCCTAGATATACTAACTGGATAGTAGCAAACGCAAATTAAGAATAAATATGAATTCAGACACGTTATGGTTGTTTTAACATAAATATAATAATGATTTTGTCAAACGATTACGGACATTACTGTAAAATAATTTTAAGAGTATTTAAATATGTATTAAGACAAATATGTATTTACAGAAATAAATTTCAAGTTTGTTTTAATGTGCTTCCTTCTGATGGCTGAATATCTTCATTTATTAATATATATTTTTCTTATGTTATGTGAGTGCAGAAAAAGTTGATACATGAAATTAATATGTACCTATTTTATTCAAAGTCTTTCAATTCAAAAACAATTTGTATCGTTAAAAACGTATGAAGTATCAGTTTAATCAATGACTAGGGAAACCCGTCATCAGTAAGTAATGCTATTCTGTTGAGAAGATTTGCAAAGAAGGCCAGCAGTTGATATTTTAATACTGTTGTAATGTGAAAAATGAAGTATAAGATATCTTAAATAAGAGGTAAAAAAGTATTTCAATGCTTGTAGGTTGAAATAAGCTTTATTTAATTAATTTTTTTTTTAAATAACTACCTACTGACAGACACTCACATCTCGTCTGGCCGTGATTACGGTTGCTGTAAAGTAGCCGAAACGTCGGGAGTATGTAGTTTATAGTAAAAAAAAACGCTTAGTAAATCCGAAAATATTAGTTTCATTTAAATGAGTACTCGCGAAAATCTTAGATCTCATTATTATTATCTCATTACATTTAAGCTGTTCTTTTGGTACATCTTGAATATTTGGTGGATTTTTTGTTATAAATACGTAAATATACAGACCCATGAATAATTATTAACTTTATGAAGGCAATTACTAAAGGTAACAACTTTTTTTTAGAATCAGTATTATATGTCTCACTGTTTTATGATTTATCTAAAAATAACTACGAATAAACAACATTTTACTATACATGTACTGTGAGCCAATAGTAGGAGCATAGTTTTTGAAAGACTTATAACGAGGAATCTTGATTTCTTAATTCAGGTATAATATAGGCGTCAAATATATATTTTTTTGTAGAATGAAAATAATTTTACTTCTACGCACATTTGCGGCATTACCCCATAAAGAAATACCGTAAGACATGACATTATATTTTTTATAAAATGATCCACTTCAAGCTGTGTTGAAGTCCAGAAATTATTGTATTATTCTAACTACAAACACAGCAAAACAAATTGTTAAATGAGGATTCCTTATATGAAGATGTATTTTTTTTCCAATAATTTACTCACGGATATCACGATAGATACTGGTTTAATATATGTATAACTAGCTTTCCGCCCGCAGCTTCGCCCGCGTGGAGTTCGGTTATATCGCGTTTCCAAGAGAACGTTTCAAAAGTCTGGGATAAAAACTATCCTATGTTCTTTCTCAAGGTCAACTCTATCTCAGTACCAAATTTCATTAAAATCAGTTCAGTGGTTTAGGCGTGAAAGAGTAACAGACAGACAGACAGACAGACAGACAGACAGACAGACAGAGTTACTTTCGCATTTATAATATTAGTAGGGATAACAAATATAGTTTCGAGGAGTAAATCCATTCCCACTCTTAAAATTTCTAAAAAATTATCTGTTTCATATGATCACGAAAAATGCCACTAGTGTCTATGCTTTTATGAAACTATTCATCAATTTTAGAGCCATGGTGCCAATAGTCGTTCTAAACAATTTAACAGACATGCCCCAGAGATTACCAGAGTGGGGCTTAAATGTTTTAATAACAAAATGTTCATTTACAAAAGAGAATTTTATTCTCGTATGTATACATAGCTACCGATAACAAAATCAGTAATTGTTTCAAAATCGAAAGAAACTCTGAAATAATTTAATTACAACTGAATTCTGACGTTCTTTCGTTTTCCCCTTTATTAAGTTTATTGATTCTTTCGTATTAAGTGTTTCATTAGAAGCACTTGATGTAATATACAATATCGTTGTTATTTTATCTTTCAAGTGTACAATTTCATTTCTTATAGTTATAGATTTGACCCTAAAACAAATCTTACACAATTTGAAGTACTTCCTTTCTTTAGTTTATAGTAGAGATCATATAATTTACGTATATAGCCATATGGCTACTAGTAAAATTTATCATTTTCATTACTTGAATTATTTGTATCACGTTTGGTTGTATCTACTTTCAAAAATTTGGAGTAATATGTATACATTTTAAATGATAACGTTTAGCTAATTATTTCGTGACATCTTCTGTCTCTTTAAAATAAGGAGCGGCACATCTCGTCTATACGTGATCACGGTTGCTGAAAAGTAGCCGAAACGTCGGGAGTATGTAGTTTTCTAATCAAAAATAAAACGCGAAGTAAAATCCGAAAAATATTAGTTTCATTTAAATGAGTACTCCCGAAAATCTTAGATCTCATTATATTTAAATAAATAAAAATAATTCAAAACAACAAAATGTAATGAAGGAAAAAAACTGCTTTTTATTTGAATATATGTACGAGTATTGTGGAATACGTACATGTCAGCATTATATAACTAAGATATTCAAAAATTTTGTTCGCTACGTCTCAAATTTCCTTGAAAAGTTTGACATATATAATCATACTATTGTCAATCATAGGAATATTAAGTAGACACTAGACAGTATTTTTTTTTCATTTATATGACTTAAATAAAACACGTTTTTATTTATGCTTTGCTCGTTTGTACCGCGTACCTTCGTCATATTAAATACTAAGTACAGTATTCCTGCTTAAAAAATAATGTATTACTGTAGCTGAATAATTCATTTCCAATGTATATTTTAAAGATTTAAAGTAGATGAGATTAAGAGGATTATATATGTATGTATGTATGTATGTATAAATATATTATTTTCATAATTGTTATCTCTGCTACTTTTTAAGCTTGTAGTGGATGGGCTATTAAGTGGATTGTTATTACTTGGTTCATTATGTGTAATCCTATTTTGCCACGGTGATTTCATCGCTAGTTCAAGTGTTTTGAATCTAATACAATTTATGTTAACAAACATTTTGTTACATAGAAATTATTCAGTAGATTAAAACTTTTTAATTTTTCTATAGCATTTTGCATTTTAGATTCAAAAGTGAAAGGCGCTCCCTGAAGCAGAAATATGACAAATTTACGAGTGTGGTGATGGCAAAAATAGGTTCAACATTACCTTAGCATAATCTAATTATATTCTCTCGCTCATACAAATGAACTCGGTGTTTGTGATTCAGCAGTGATTAAAATACTATTTGCTTATATATTAACAATTCAATATACACATATATGGCTACATTTTAATATGGTTAAATTTTCTTTCCTATTTTAATCTCCAATAGCTACTTTTAACTTGGTTTATTTAATCAATGAAATTAGTTTGATGTTTTTGTAAAACAGTTCTATGACTAAAAAATAAATAAATATTCATCTCTTACCCATATAATTACCAAAGTAACCAAGTCCCCTATCTTAACTATAAGACTGTAAAACTTTCTATAAGATTTAGAAGCTATCTGTACGTGAAGGCTAACACAATTTTCAAATTGTGAGCTGTATTTTTTAGACAACATAAAATTACATAGAAGAATGTTTAAGTTGAAATTAATTACTTTTTTCAGTAAAGTAAAGTAATAAATATTCCAAGAAATCTTCTATCCATTATAAATGAGTTGTGAAATAAATCTGAATGAATTGAAGTGAATTTTATTTACGATAAATATGTTTACTTCACACTTAAGTTACGAGAATTTCAAACAGCAGAAACATTTTGAGAAAAGTTTGATAGAAAGTTGCGCTTGGCTCACCTTTGCTTGGGCACTATTGCATCACTGCAAGGGTACTTACCGAGGATCTTTGCATTGCTGTGACTTCTAGCCAATAGCAATAGAAATAGCATTTCGTTTTCTTCAAAGCTTCTTCTAAAGGAGATTTGTCACACAAAGACTTGTGGATCGCTCGATACATAGTGATCTATTATTATTATTTATTTCAAATGATGTGTCGTGACAAACGTGACACGTTGTTCTGTTTATAATTCAAAGAAAATAGATGAGGTTGAAAGATTAAATGAAGAAGACTACATTTGCTTTGAGATTTCGTGTGTAAGATGATTTATATCTAAATAAATTGAGGTTTTATCAAACAATTGTAATATTCAACTTAAACTTAAATACGTATTATATTTCAGGACTGTTTTCTCAAAACCCATGTAAATGTTAATCATCGTTCAATCTTATTCACTTATTTATTACAATAAAACCTTGTTCGCCTATTATGCGTGTATCTTGTTAAATAACGATTGAAAATAGTTTCAGATGTTTCAAACTGTTTTTTTTTTCTAATCGTAATTGATCTACAAAGTGTTAATTAACAACAATAAAAAATGGATTTACGTAGTAAATGGGAAAAAGTTGACAGCCTTTTAAGCTTACGGCTAGTTAGCCGTAATTAGTATAAGTAGTTTAAGGTATTAATTTAATTTTAACTTCTTTAAAATATTTTTATTTACAACCTTATCAAAAACTTATATTGAATAATAATTGTTTTTAGTGACAACTAGAAAAATCTTTAAATAGATTTTTCAAAGTGATTAACGATTCAATACTATAAGTTACAAAGTAATTCTTTTTCGAAATCCACACACAATAGAATTAAAAAAATATATAAAATACTACATACCGATAATGTTCAAATATAACAGACCCACATACCTTCCTTGTCTTTTTATCTCTACCCAAAATTAAATAGTGTGAAATTATTCTATTAAAACATTTTACTTGCAACATTGCTATTGAGAGTTACAAACACCCGAAGGAAATTTCATAAGTTATAAACATAACAAGTGAATATAACTATTTATTACAATTTTTTTCACAAAACTGCTTCCATGATCAATGGCCCAACCAAATATTTCATGGAAAATTATGTAGACGATTATAATAGATTTTTGGAAATTCTATTTTTAGTCAGATATATTAATATTTGAATTCCGTTTGTTTGATAGACAGAATACATTAATATAGTAGGTGAATGATTGGACAAATCTAAACTAAAATTTTGCACAGATATTGCAACGTTGTTTATGTTTGGTTATACCTAAAGAACGGGATATCTTTACCTTTTTAGGTATTAATTAACACGGCCTCTTAGAGGCATCTTTGGGACGAGCGTTTCCTCCGTCTGACCCTTCGGGTCCGTGTTAAAATGGGTTGGTTCCATCGGGCAACCTACCCCTACCGGTAATGCTGTAAAAGCCAATAACAATAGACAAGTCGAAACAAAAATATAGTTTCATGTACTAAGAAAAAGTTATCTACAACTGATCTTATTTGTCTAAGAATAAAAACGAATAATCTTTTTTAGTTCTGAGCAGTGATCAAAAATATTTATTTAAGTAATTTCATACATCTGCATCAATATTTTCTATTGTATCCAAAATATTTTTAGTTTTAACAAAGTCCAGGCAGCGCCTACAAGAAACTATGTTGCAATTTATTAGATTAATAATAATTATTTTAGATTAATTTAAGATTAATAATTATTATAGTTAATATAAAGAGATGTCCGTTTTGCAATACATAATTTTGAATTTTTTTTATATTATAATTTTTGTAAACAAGGGAATTTATTCACGTAAGTAGTCTTATGACATTACAATAACATACCATGGTGGTAAAAACTGTCCGGTCCCTGTTATTGCTGAGCCGATCAAATATTAATACAATTTTCATTTCACGATCAACTTATTATGCATATTTAGAAACTAAGACAAGACGTATAGTATGTAATGAATATAAATAATAAAAATAAATGGATTTTTCTCGTACATTTTTTCCATTTTAAGTTTACCATTATTCTTTATTAAGTTTTGAAATGTTTGTTTTGTCTAGAACATATTGTATATATTAATCTTGGAGTTATTTCAATTAACTCTATAGCAAAATCAATAAACCACCTAACGGCAGACTGATGAACGTTTGAGATTTATATCTAGTGTACCTGAAAGAAAAAAGAAATCGTTTATACGGAGATTGGAAAATCTTTGTAGATTAGGTAACACAAAAATTTAAACTCTTACTTCTAATAATAAATATATTTTTTAGTTCATTTTTATAAAAAACGTCATACACATTTGTTAAATAATAAGATTTGATATTTAAATCGACTTTCAGTTTCCGTTTGCGATCCTACTTAGCGTATTAAATAATATTTCTTACATCGATAAAGAGCCGGAAACTGTGAAGTTCGTAATTTGAAGAGAAATTTGATATTTCATACACCCCCGGTGGCCTTCTTCGGCAGTCAAAGGATAACTAGGGAACTCTTAATTTGTATGCAAGGCTCCTTATCATATTAGAAAGTCGTTGGTCGCTTCTTACCGATAAAGTGGTAATATCAAGCTTCCTACCATATAAAGAATTGCGAAACATAATTTACGGACACTACATTTTATAGCAAGCCAGATTCTATATTTCTAATGGGGTATTGCACATTTGCTGTATATATGTATTAGAATTTAACTACAACTGAGTTCTTCGGGTACTATTTCGGGTACTACTTTTTAATATAAAATATGTTGACATAATACCGACGTTTTATTTCCTTTACTGAACCGTGATAACAGGCAGACGAGATGAATATGTCGTTTAAATCGTAGTCTTTTGTTCGAAACCAAAAAAACACTTTTTCCTTAAAGTTTAAAACTATAGATTTAATCTCTAAATGGTAAGTTTACTACTTAAATAGCAATATATATCTTTTAATTTTTGAAATTTGCTACTTTGAGAATTATGTAATTTATAACTTAAAAATAAACGGCAACGCATCTACAACACCCCTTGTGTTGTAGATAACCATGGGCGACGGTAAATACTTACCAACAGGTAGGCAAACACCCCTTTGGGACATAAAAAAAGATTTTTAAATTTTTTTGGTGTTCAAAAATGTGAAGAATTGTTTAAATTTTTTATATATTTATATGTGATACATCTTTATTATTATGTAACAATTGTATATTAAGAAGAGCAACTTTTAGATGTCACATCTATAAAATGTTCATTCTGATTTATATTAAGAAACAAAAATTGCCTAAAAATACCATATGACGATAAGGAAGTAGTTTATTGAATGTTATTTAAATTACTTTTAAAATAACTCAAGTCTAACCTACTTTACTTCCTTCAGGTTAATGATCATTAAAAGAACCGATAGCGTTTACTTACTTTTTCATCTTCTTAAAGAAAACAGGTTGTAAATTATTATACTAATAGGTATAATACAATACTATTACACATTTTTGTTGTACAAAATAGAAGATTTAAATATAAATCTTAAAACAAATCATGAAATATTATGTCATTGTTCGTTAAGATAAGATAAATACTAATTAATTATTATTGATCCAGAGCTAGTAAGGCCGTGAACGGTTAAGGGAACATGTAATTTGTGCATGTGCATAATATAACATTATTCATGAAAATTACAAAAAAAAACTACGAACTAGTGTAATTTTTTTTATTATGTCAATGTATTAATTCTTATTCTTTCTTGTATTTGTAGTGCATTTAGTTGGCGCAATTGATAAGAAGAAATCTGACAGTGTCACCTGTTAAAATAGTTTTGTAAACACATGAAAAGAAGTGTAACTAATATAAGGTGTTTTAAATATGCAATACTAATCCAAGAGAACAGAAACGGCCGAGTTTCTGCGACTCCAGCCGATCGTCTGGATCGATTTTGACTTGAACTTGTTACAATACGTATGTATTGGCATTGACTATATCGCTTATTGAGGTACGGTCACGGCTGAATCAAGGCTTCTATTTAAATTTTCTATATAAAATCGTTCAAGATAATATATTTATTGAACTTGTACGAATGTTCGTCTTATATTTTAGTATGTAAAATAATGTTATATGTTTTTCTACTTCTAAAAATTTCAGGCTTCATAATACATATATGTTACTATTACTTTTTCTTGAAAAATTCAAAGTAATATATATGCATGTCTAAAATTGTATCAGAAGAACTGAGAAGAGATTTTATAAAATAAACGAAACATACCTGAATAAAAAATTCAGAGTAAATTAAATAAAATCATAAATTTTCGTTTGCAATCTGTTTTAAAACTTGAACGTAAAAAGTAAGCTTTCTTTTCAGGAATAAAGAATATATTTTAATTAATTATAATTTATTTACTTGATAAAGTGTCTTATTACTTATCGTTTTTATGAGTTCCACAATCAATTGCAATAAGTGAGGAAATATGTATTCAATAAATCTTAACTCGCATATTACTTATCGCCCCTAGTAAATCCTCGTTCAGATTATTTTTGATAATAAATAATTCGTTGTCAATCTTTTTTTGATAACGGTACTTTTTAATTATCAAGAATATAAAGATACTACACGATATAAAAGGTTCCTAAAATAAGAATTTTACCAAGAAGTATTGCAACAATGGCTGCGTCTCTAATACTCTTGGCCAGTGTCCTCTCTGCAGTAGCGGGTATGTTTTAATATTAGAGTTTGTTATTTTACTCCGTATATCATGTCGAATAAAAATAATAATAATGAAACTAAGTAATTTGATTTTGTAAATTTTTGAAAATCAAATATGTATAGCATACTATATTTCATAGTAGAAAATTATATATTTACGAGTTTTATGTGCTACGGTTATGTGTTGTTCATATTCCAAAATGCTCTAATGTTTAATACATTAAAAAAGCTAATATAACTAAGGTTATAAAAGAATAAAAAAAAAAACAAAACATTAATGTTGGAATCTGAGAGGAAGTTACTAGTTAGTTAAGTAATAAGTTCTTCATATGAATTTGCTTTAATGTTATAAAAAACGTTGTAGCGGGGCCGATAGCGGAGAGAATTGCTGGTGGCGCTGTTACGACAATTGCGACGTATCCTTTTGCTGCTAGTATATCATACAACAGACTTGGATTTGGTACTTTCACCTTCACCTGTGGAGGGAGTATCATCAGCAGCAGATCTATTTTAACAGCAGCATTTTGTGTGTAGTGAGTGTTGTTTATTTATAAAGCTTGAATTATACAGATAGTTTTTTGAATTGGCTGATAGAAAATTTCTTTGTTTTTATTGTTTGCAATTGTTGTAATAATATTATTTATTAACAGTGGGGATCAGCCTAATCGATACCGAGTGCGTGTTGGTTCGTTGACTACAGGTCTTAATGGGCTTCTCCATACAGTCGACTATTTCACTGTTCATTCGAACTACAATCCAGTGACCAAAGAAAATGACATCGCCCTAATTCACGTATTCCCTCATATATTGTTTACAAGTAACGTCCAATTGGCAAATTTTGCTGATCGTAGCTATATCCCTACAAGCAATCAGTCGGTCATGGCTATTGGATGGGGACAAATTAATGTAAGATTTTTTTATTTATATTATTATTAGTAACAAACTTTGAAACTTTAGATTATAATTAGCACTTTGAAGTCTTATTTAAAAAAAGTTTATAAAGCTCATAAGTAAAATTATAATTCTGTTTATAATATGTATCTTTAAAATGTTTAATATAAATGTCAGAAAACTATAGCAAAATTACTTCGTATTTCTTAGTGATGCGTTATAAAATTTGTTAAACTATATATTTTTTGTAACAGCATGGTGGAGCTCTGTCGGACAGCCTTCGTCGTGTCCAACTGTGGTTAGTTGACAACAACGAGTGCAAAAGACGTTACTCTGAGCTGGAAGGTCCCAACGTCACTTCCAATATGATTTGTGCTTCTGGGTTCGATCCTTCTGGAAAGGGGCAATGTCTGGGTGACAATGGCAGTCCCATTCTTGATGATAGACTCATTATTGGTATATATTCATGGAGTCATCAGTGTGGTACAGTACGTTACCCTAGCGTCAACACATATATACCAAGTTATGTCGAATGGATTAGATCTTACTATTAAGTCATATAAAAAATATTTTTTTATGATATGTTATTTATTGAAATTATATTGTGAAATATTTGAAATTCAAAATATATTGTAATAAATCGTTAATCATTTGTACGTGTTTTTATGTTTAGATTCCCTTCTTATTTTGTACACTTTCCCTTGTAGCAAAATAAAATGCATTCAAAATATGACAATTATTAAATTACAGCTAAACGATAAACATCCTTTTCACTATTTACTCTAACTTGCAAAAGATATAATTATTATTACCCTGGTCATTGACATATTGGACACTGCCTCTTTGGAATTTGAAAGCTTTTATTTTTCAATAGGTACAATATACATGCAAATTAATAATTAGATTCAATTAAAATCTTGCATTTCATTCGATAGCAATATAATGTCGGTAGGTATTTACATATAGCTTAAATGATAATTCATGTTCAGCTGACTTTAACCATCACTAGGTATGATGGCATTACAAAAATTATCTTCTATATATATAAAAATGGATTGCTGTTCCTTAGTCTCGCTAAAACTCGAGAACAGCTGAACGGATTTATCTTATCTTAGTCTTTAAATGTTCGTGGAGGTTCAGGGAAGGTATAAAAGGTGAGAAAAATTGGAATAATTGCCGGGAAAACCCTAAAAACAGCCCTTTTCTATTTCCCATACAAACGTTTTTTTTGACATTAGATTTGACAACTAACTAATATGTCAATCATTCTGTTTGATTGAAACAGGAAAATCCTGATTATTTATGGCCTCTAAGACGGAGTATGCCTGGTCAGCTTCTTCTTCTACCTGGCAATTTCCCAGCTATAGCCAGGGTCTGCCTTACATGTTTGTGAATAGTTTTGGCTATTTGTTTTTACGACCGGCCGCTTGCCTGACATCAACCCTCTCTTTGGGAATCAACATAAATCAGTGATGTCTAAATACTCTTAGAAAGTACATATGATACGGAAAAATCACATTGGTACTTGCCCGGGCCAGGATCGAACCCGCGCCCTCGGCAACGAGAGGCGGGCCCCTTAACCACTAGGCTACCACTGCCTGGTCAGCTATACCTACATATATTACTCTTGACCAAACTAACGCGGACGAAGTCGCGGGCAAAAACTAGTATGATATAAAAATATTGCAAGATTTAAATGCTCGAATTGTATTTAGGAATAAAATATTTTTTGTAAAGTTATTACATTTACATATTTATTATTACAGTTCAATCTTAAGCATACTTCACAATTCTTATACGTCATGATAAATCTGAACAAAATATGTATATATTATATTTTGTTTTCTATGAATAGAAATAATTTTTTCGTATTTATTTTACTTGCTTCAAATGAAGTCTATTTATTGACCTATTTTTTTGAGATATCTTCACAAAAACTCAAACAAAACACCTTTACTCCAGTAATCTGTAGCTTGAAAAGGATGAAGTAAATTTTATCATTTACTACACATTTTACAATAAAGTGACTTAAATCCAAAGTTACTATGTGTTTGTACACTGCAATAAAGGAAAATGAGATCTCTTTACTTTTAATTTGACTAGAAATGTACTGGAAATTATTTCAATGCGAACTCCAGTTATGTAAAGAGAAACAGTCGATTTCAGTGAGTTTAATTTGTTAACAAGTTACATTTACTAGCTATTTAATTTTAATCTTAAAAGAGGAAATGTACTCTAAAGCAGGAAGGTCATTTTTTTATTTTTAAATAGATATACAAACTGTTATATAACAATTTTTTAAACGATAATAACCAAAACAGGAAAAGAATAGTTTGTTTTTTATTATTTTGGGATACAAAAGCAATTACACTTTTATCTGCTTTGTTTTGTTTTGCCTGTAATGTATGAAAATGATATATTTAAAAAAAGACACATGAGCAGTTTAGAATTGTTAATGAATCATTTAATTTATGAATGTAAAAAAAAAAAAAAATATTTATTTTACATGTTGTATATTTATTGTATGTATATTTAGTTATCATACACATAGTAAATGTATAAAACAATTTTTTTTTCATATAATTTATATCGATACATGTTTAGATAAAATATGTTATAAAGAAAAAAATGCAGTAAATGGCAAACATTGTTTCGTGTTAAGGCACAGAAACATTTAAACATTCACTATTCTCGTTGACCGTCGGGATCGATTTTTGACTTGAACTTGTTAGAATTTAACTACGAACGTGAACTATCGTTTATATATAGCGTTTATTGACGTAAGGTCAGGGCGTTACCTAGACTCAACTCAAAAAAAGAGTAAGAGACCTCTTGGAAATGGTTGTAACAATAAATCAATATAGTATGCTGTCTTTGTATATGTTTTTTTTTCTTTTGTTTTCGTGTCTTAGAATATTTAGAACATATTTTTGTATTGTGTTTTACCCATTTATTACTTCAGCAAATAATTCCTTACGTATTACTAAAATCGTTTTATTCCTTTAACTATATTTAAACAAATTTACATCTACGAGTACGTTAGTGCAATTGGTTATCCAAATTTTAATTGAAACTAACTAATTGTATCCACAATATTGAAAATCTATGCAGAAATAGGACAATTTTCTGATATTTGAGATAATATTAATATAACAGACAATAAAATTTTCTGCTTAAAAAATAAAATGTTTAATTAAATTATCTCCTTGGAGACAAATGTAGGATAAATATATATAAAATAAGATCTAGAAGAATCCTTAAAAAATATAACTCAATATTTAACACACATAATAGGACAAGTTTATATATTTTTTTTGTGACTTTTACTTCTTATTGCGTTTTATTTATTTGAATACATTATATTTATAAAAGTTAATGTCTGCTTCGAATCACTGATAAAACTCTTCGTAAAACTGAACTATTAAATAATGACAACCTAATATTTTTTAAAAACGAAAAATGAAAAAAGACGTCCATATATTTGTTTGAAACTATCACGTCTAGATATAAATTTAGTTAGTATAGTTTAGAATTGTTTCTGCTTCAAACAGAATTTATCTCCATGTTTGGTATGTGAACACACTGTTTACAAATCGTGGATTAGACCACATACATATTTACAACGCGTTTAGACTTGTTAGAAATAAATATATTGATTTAAGCAAATAGTTGCTTCATATGACAAGTAATGTATCTTTTGTTTCTCTGAATAACCCACATAAATGGTTACTTTTTAATAATAATTAATTAAGTGATCGTTTGTTCAACTTTAAGTCAGAACACGTTTGAAATTTTTATATGCCTAGTACGCTTAAAACCTCTTTGGTTGTTTTTATATAAAATTGCTTTTCTATTATATTTTCATAGATTTTTATTTTAATTTTATTTTCAATATAAATTAAATTTAAGGACGGAAAATATTTGTTACGATATCAAAATGGTTACATTGTGTATAAGTATTTGGGAAATGGTTAATTTATAAATTTGTAATAAGATATATCACATTGGTTATATTTGTAATTTTTCCTACAATTTAAGAAATATTCTATTTAGTTTTGTGTTTGTCATAAGCAGTTATATGAAAAATATCTTGTATGAATCAATATACCTATATATTTATTAAAATGCGTAGATGTTATAAACTAATCAATATTAATATATATTCTATTCATAATTTAAATAATCTTAAGATAAATAATATTACTTAACATGTTCTTTTAAATTGTGATAGAGAAATACTTGTAACATTGATAAATAATCTTTATTACGTATCATAATTGCAGGAATGTCAAATATACCAAAATAAACTCCTGAATATATACTTTACCAAGAGTGAAGCGATTGGATTTCTAAACAAAAATCCGTTTTAGCACCAAATTTTCTGAAAGAAGCATTAGTGAATGACAAGAAGTAAGAGTTAGGTGAGATTAAAGGTAACATAGCTTTCGTTACTTAAAAAGTCATCTAGATTTTGCGGGACAAACATCGAGGACGTGGTAAAGAATAACGTTAAGCATATCGATTAAGAATTTATTCCTAAATGACTAATCGTCGCTGGTATATTGCTTTCAGAGATTATATTTGATAATTACACCTTGTATTTTTTTTGATAACGGTACTTTTTTAATTATCAAGAATATAAAGATACTACATGATATAAAAGGTTCCTATAATAAGAATTTTATCAAGAAGTATTGCAACAATGGCTGCGGCTCTAATACTCTTGGCCAGTGTCCTCTCTGTAGTAGCGGGTATGTTTATAATCAAACTAATCTTTGTAAATGTTTACATATTAGCTTGAAATATATTAAAAAAGTGTGAATGTGACTTAGAGATTTTTTTAAATGCATCTCACATGTTTCAGAAGTCCTAATGGACTGTGGTGTATTCTTTTTAATTCCTAGTTCCTAGTATGTGGTGAAATAATTATAGGATTTCGCTCTTTACATATATGAAAATATTTAAAGTAATGCTGTACAATTTACATAAAGTAGAATTTATTATAATTTGCACACATTCATTATTTTAAAAGAATTATTTTGTTTTCTTACTTTATTTCGCTTTTGTTTACACATATGTATTTGGGAGAACACTTCTGGTACTTTCTAGAAAAGAAATTAAATGTAAAATATATTAAAACACTTTTTATCAATGTGATAAAATAATTTTAGCGTCGCCAGTTCATGAGAGAATCGCTGGTGGTGCAATTACGACAATTGCGACGTATCCTTATGCTGCTAGTATCTCATACAACAGACTTGGTTTTGGTAACTTCGTTTTCTCATGCGGAGGATCCATAGTCAGCAGCCGAGCCATTCTCACTGCAGCTTTCTGTGTGTAGTGAGTATATCTATATAAAATATATGTTAAAGAACTTTATTTTGTTTATTTAAATAAATCTTCAATGACAGTAAGGACGAGATCACTCGTTTTCGAGTGCGCGTGGGTGCTTTGTCAGCCAGCAGTGCCGGAAGCGTTCGCACCGTCGATTATATCGCTACTCATCCAAATTACAATCCAGTTACTCATGAGAATGACATCGCGCTAGTTCATATATACCCACACTTGCTATTCTCTTCAACTATCGGATTAGGAAAATTTGCTGACGATAGATATTTACCTCGCTACAATCAGTCAGTCTGGGCTATCGGATGGGGACAAATCAATGTAAGTGCTTAAACTATTTTATTAAATGTAATATATTTGCTATAATAGACCCCTTTTGAGCGACGTTTGAGAGTCTATTTAAAACCATAATATTATTAAAACAATTAGATTTGATGTATTTACTTTCTTTCTTACTTATAAATTTATTATAAATTCAAAAGGAATTATTTAAAAAAATCTGTTTTTTATAACAGTATGGTGGAGCTTTATCGGAGAGCCTTCGACGTGTTCAGCTGTTTTTAGTTGACAGCAATGAGTGCAACAATCGTTACGCTGAGCTGAATGGTCCCAGGGTCACTTCTAATATGATTTGTGCTGTTGGTTTTAATCCTGCTGGAAGAGGGCAGTGTCCTGGTGATAATGGCAGTCCCATTGTTGATAATGACCTTATTATTGGTATATATTCATGGAGTCATCAGTGCGCTACAGTTCGATTCCCTGGTGTCAATACTTTTATAGCTAAGTATTCAGATTGGATTAAATCTCAGTACTAATTTATGTAAATATGATGTTAAAAAAACCATTATTTATTGTTTGCTAAATATATATATTTTTTACCTATTTTGTTTTTATACTTGTAATGATAATTACAGAGAAGCTACTAAGAAATTAAATCCTTCTTTGTTATGACAAACAGTCATCAAAACTAGAAATAAGGGCGACTTCGTTTGATCAGGCACTTTGGTAACTTATTATAGGCGAGAAGAATGTAACAAATATAATCGATAGTTAAAATATTTGATACAGTCCAAAAGATCGCATAATCACACTAAAGGTTACACCTATAGTCATTTTATGTCTCTTTAGATGGTAAAGTGAGTAGTAATTGATAGAAAATATTTATAAAAAAATGACAGCAACTTGTAATCGACGCTATAAATTTAATTGTTTCGTCCAAAAATTATTCTGTTTCACCACAGACATACGAGCATGTAGTTGCTACTTGCTACTGCGTTCGTATAATGTTTGTGTGTTTTGTGACTGTTAGTGGCTAAACGTATAAGAAATACTGAAAAATAATACAAAAAATTGACATATTTGAGTGTCTCATTCTCGAGAGTCAAAAAATATTTGTGCACTAAAAAATTATAGGAACTTGAGTTGACACTAGCGGTCATAATTGTTGACCGTTTTTTCACTGTTTGTCATATGTACTCTCTAAGAAATATGTTATCTTCCCATTCTTATGTTCCTTTGATTTCATCCAAAACAAATATTCCTCTGAAAGACTATTGTATTAAGTTGTTACTTAAGCTCTAAATATTTTTTTCGGATTTTGGTGCTTGACTATCTATTTTTTTAAATTAAAGTAATACATATTTACATATTACTACACGTTATTTTTTTATTAAAAAATATATATATATCTCTCATCTTGTCTGCTCGTTATCACGATTGCTGCAAAGTAACCCAAACGTCTTGAGTATGTTGTTTACATAAATAAGAAAATAACGCTTAGTACATAATCCCAAAATATTAATTTTATTTAAATGAATACTCACGGAAATCTTTGATCTCATTAAAATATTACTGGTATGACAACTTGAAGATTATTTTAACCTAAAGCGTGCTTAAAAATTAAATTGAGTAATTACTGCCCTCTTGATCAAGTATTCAACCTTAAGATATGAGAAAATTATTTTTCATGTAACTTGAAACTAGTAGGGCCTTGGAAAGGATGCAATGTGTTGGGTACGCGTTACTTTTGGGTTACGACTTATGTATGTCTACTCGATGATTGTAGAATACTTAAACTCTCGCTAGGTGTGAAAACACCTTTTAGGGTAACTAGGGAATGTGTAGCTAAGGTTTCCAGAACATAACGTTTTTTGCATTAATTATAAATGTTATTACTTTGACCTTGAAAAATCTGTACTAGTATAAATTATTACAGTTATAAAACTTGTTTTATTTACTGTAGTATATTTTCTAAATATTTTTAGTTAATGTTCCCTTGCATATTATAATAGTTTTAAATATTGTGTTCACTTTTATTATAAAAGTGGCATGTTGCGAGAATTATTGATTAATACTAGGATAAATTTGTTTTTTTAATTTATTTTAAAAAGGCAGTACCTACTTTTTTTTTGGGGCACAAATTATTGTCAGTGTCATATCTTTTTGAAAGAACGAACAATGTTATTGAAATTTATCCTACTATGATATCACTGTGCGCTTTAATAACGCCATTGTTCATAATTTTCGTTTTCCCTATTGTACAAATAAAAATTTACATCTTGTGCTAGTTAACTAAGCCGTATATATTAAAAATATCTTTCATACTATCAAGATATTATATATGCAAATACGAGTACTAAGGAAAATTTTGAATACGTACACATTTTGAGTAATCTTCATAAGCATACTTTATCTATTACATATATGCTACGTATGTATATTAATAAATTTGCTTTAGTTCTTTCAACTAAGATTTTTTCAATGGTCTAATTATAAATGATTCTTTGTCATAACTGACGTTGATAGAAATGCACGAACGTAGACGAGCTGCCACGACTACAGCCGATCGTCTGGATCGATTTTTGACTTGAACTTGTTACAGTATGTATGAATTGGCATTGACTATATCGCCTATTGAGGTACGGTCACGGCTGTCCCAAGGCTTTAGAATTTAAATTCAAAACAACAAGGGTTATTTAAGAGGCCATTTATTAGATAATCGTAATACATTATTTAAATTATAAAATAATTTTGTTTTACCAGTAAAAAAAAATTGATACACAGCTGAAACTTAGCTGTTTTAAATTTGTTTTCGATTTTTTCGAAGAAATATCTTAGTGGTTAAAAGATAAAGTTATTTATGTAAATATAATTGATACTAGTTTACAAAAAAAAAAAAAAACAAGAACAACCGCATTTTTAAAAAAAATCTACATTGTTAAGTAGGTTAACATAAATAATATATAATTTATAAAAGTACTGCTTGATTTAACCGTGACATCAGAGTTCGAGGGCGAATCTAGTAAAAGCAGCTCGTATTAAAAGAGTAGTAAAACTTTCACGGCGAAGGGAATACGTTGAAATATTTTCACATACTACAGCTGAACACAAAAGTAGGTCAGCAGTTGCGATCAATATATATTTTATTGTCTAGATAGCAATGTTCACCCATTAGTTAATGCAAGTTGTATTGCAAATAATATTGTTATCTTAACGCACGCGTATTTACTTAATTAGAACCTTTCAAAAAAAGTTCACATTTATAAAGCTAACAATAACATATTCAGTTCGCTATTTATATGGAACAAAATTACGCCAGGTCTATAGTACAAACTTATATATTTTTTATAGTCTAACTTGCGTCAAACCTTTAATCCATAACTTATTCCTATCACATTAATACTCAAAGTGGATTAATGTTTGTGATGTGTGTCAAAGCGTTATAATAATCGATAAGTTCAATTTTAATTCGATTCATTAATAATGCATATGTAATTATGTAACTTGGGTACCATGTCATTTTATCAGGACCTTCAACAGTGACATTGGCGTGTCGATGTCATTGATTTATGACATTCGCCTCGTGTCCTTCCGTGTTGGTTGTTTTGTATTAACTTAAATATTCTGGAATGTTAGAGACAAAATGAATGAGTTTTTCCGATCTTTTGACTAGATATAAAAAGTATATTTAATATATTATTGTTATATTTTGGTTACATTCATCACTTATATTTGGCTTAACGTAATATATTTTGGTAGGCGGTAGAGCTTAGCTGTGGTCACGTTACCACTCTCTCACAGAAGATCGGCGTGAAGTAGTTTTTCATAGCAGCGTTTCGTTCGATGAGTTAGAGAGCCGGTTACCCTTTCCCTTTTTCGACCCTTTCCTACCCCTTCCCTTTCCCTAACTTTCCCACTTTTTCTTTCCCTTCTTCGTTAATCAAGGGTGGCAACGGATCTACAAAACTATGTTATGGATATCCATGGACAAAGGTACTACCTACATACATCAGTTAGGCTGTCTGCTCGGTAGCCCCCTTCATCATAAAAAATAAAAATAATAAATAGTAATATAATAAGATTTGAGAAATAAATTATGAATTCTTAGAAAAGGATTCAAAAGTCCTAATCGGATAAATATACATTTAAATATTATGTTTCTTTTGTTGACTTTTTATATAATAGCTATGGTCGGCACGCCTACAATGGTAGAATGTTACGTCAGTATTGGCCTTCCGATGAAGTTGTTCACAACAATACGAAATTCAAGTTCAATAAAACAATCTAGAAATTTTCTTTCTAACGACGTGTAATAAAAAATATTTTTAATAATTACTTTTTATTATTTCTGTAAAGAATTGAATTCTGTGTTTAAAATTAATTAAATACCGTTAATATAAATAATAATAAATATAAAAAAAAGAATTACATTGTTCAAGAGTTTATCTTGATAATAATTGTATATAATAAAAGTGGTCGTTTTATTACTCATACAGATCTAATATTTTTTTTGACAATAACTTACTACGGTTTAAAATAGAAAAACTTAAAAATTCCTAGTTAAGAAAAATTTTATAATTTCCAGTGCTAAAAATTAAAATTTCATCCTTCTAAGAAAGAGATAGATGCTTATAAATTGTTTAAAGTAAAAAATATGAAAACTTTAGAAATATGTTTACATCAAAGGAAAGTATAGTTTTTTGTTAAAGTATAAGTTTTAACCGAGATAGCCAAGATAGTTTGTCATTGTGGCTATGGGGTCATTTTTTGCCTTCCAAACTTCAGCTGTTATAAGAAATTCTTAGAGAAGTTCTTGTTTTTTGTCGACAATAAGGATTCGTAAAGCTCTTTATGGTCGACTATCGTATGGTCTGGGATCTAAAACTTGTAATATTTTTATAATCACTAAATTATGATAAATATTTTGTAAAAATAAAATATATTTCGAATTATAGTTTTTTAATTTAAAACCCTATTCAGGCTGCGGTTATTAGACTTATGAAGAGGCATTAAGTGCTAATGTGACCACTAATTATTGGCTGTCATGGGTAATAAAGGTAAATAGCTTGTATTGGGTACAAATTCAACACAAGTAATAATCACTTTAGAAATATATTGTAATTTTGTCATCAAATTTTGCATCGCATTAAGTATTTGTTTATCTTATGTCGTACACCGTTATAAGTTCGTATATAGAAAAAATTTATGCAATATGAATATAATTCAAATAGAATAATTTCATGTAATATGATTTATATTCACTAAAAAGTTATATTACTTATTTAAATATATTTTTACAGTGTCTTGGTTATCGTCAGTAAACGAATAGTGGAATTGCAATGTTACTTAAAAAAATAAATCATTTATTGGAATATCAAATTCTAATGAATCGGACTTACTTGAAATTTTGCAAAAGAAATGCAGTTTAAATGATAAATAAGTGTTATTCACCGATAAGTTCTAGGATTTAGCATGTTCAATTATTTTAAATACCCGTTATCATGTTATATTTAATTTGATAAAATTACATTATCGA